AACAAACGACACATGTTCTCCCTCATATGTGGGTCCTAGCACCAAATCCTTATAAGTGAGTTTGTATCCAGACATAACTACAGAAATCAGGATAATGAGAATGAACCTGGTAGGTAAAGGAAAAGAAAGAACCTGAAAGAGAAGAACAGTAGGAAACAGGTGTTAATAAGGAAGATATGGAGTGTGGTGGCGTGCGCCTTTAATCCCAGCTCTCGGGAGGCAGAGGCAGGCGGATCTCTGTGAGTTCAAGGCCAACCTGGTCTACATAGTGAGTTCTAGGACAGCTTGTCTCAAAAAGACCAAAATAATGGGGTTATTTTAATGGAGGGGGGGAAGAGGGAGGGTTATATAAGGGGTTAAAGGGAAAGAAGGAGCTCAAGAGAGGAGAGACCATAGGAGAAGGGTATTATTAAGAGAGAAATGGGGAAAATTAGGAAACCATGGTGGAATGGTTAGACAATGAGAGAGATAAATAATGCCTGTCTAGTTTAAAAAAAAAAAACAGAGGGAACCATATTAACCCAACAACCTACTGACAAATTATACATACAACTATCTTAAGGAAAATAATATATAAGTAGTCAAGGTTTGTCGGAGAGCATTTTGTTTTCGCCCAAGCTTTATCTATGTAGCACATGGTAATTTAAAAAGTACCAGACTGGTGGAACTAACCTTCTTGAATGTTTAACAGCCATACTTTGAGACCTATACTAATCTGGTCAGAGGGAGTTAAAGGACAGTTTTTGCTCCTTGCCCTCCACAGTCGACTAAGTTCCAGGGGACAAATGGAGTGTCTCTCAAAATGTTCTGTAACTATGGTGACTCACCTGTCCTCTTGATTAAGGAGGCCTTGGAGACCTCACCAGATGGACTTGAACCAGTGTCCAGTCTACAAAGAGGAGGGTCAAAACAGAGGAAACATTTCCTCCATGCTTCTAAGTGAAGCCAGCTATGGCCGAGGAGAACCTTTGATTTATCTTCACATAGACAGAACTGGTAAAAGAAAGGAGCCAAGGGCTCCTCCCAAGCCCATGTGACCCCTGAGGAACAGATCCTCAAACAACCTTAAGAGTAAAAATAAATTGGTTAATCTAGGCCAACTGTATGGTCTTAAACACCCAAAAAGAAAGTATAATCAAAGATTAAAGTGATCAGTGTAATTCTTTAAAAGTTCATGTATATAGTTAAAGGCTACATAACAAGAAACAGTGCCAGACAGGAGATACCTTCCTTTGAGTTGTTGGCCAGGGTGGCCCAAAAGACTCACAGATAGTAACCCAAGCATAGAAATGGAGAGATGAACAGCAGACCCCAACCTTATCTAAATGAATGTTGGCAACTGATTGCTGCTAGATGAGGAAGGCCTAGATAGACTGACTAGATTCAGTGGATGGACTAGCACTGGGTAATGGCTAGGGGCACTGATAACACAGTGGACAGTAACAGGGATGATAGAGTATATGGGCTCCAGTGTGTGTGGGGAGGCTATGGGAAGGTGGCATTTGGGATGTGGTTATAAAGATGAATAAGATTGTTTGGGATGTTCTGTATGAAATTCACACACAAAAAATCAATGCAAAAAGAAGAAATGAGAATTCTTTACTGTTATTCCAGGTATAGGTGATTCCCTCGTTTTTGTTTTATTTATTTGATCTTTGAGGCATTTGTGTTTCTTTCTATTGTTGCTTGTCCTGGGGGGTTATAAGAATGCCAGTGGTGTGTAAAATACCCCAAGTTTGGCAAAGTTGCTGGAAAATTTTACTAGTATAATAAGGCCCACTATCTGTTTTTATTTGATAAGACAGCCTCAAAATTGAAAATGTTTGAATAAGATGTTTACTTACATCCTTAGTTTTCTCTCCTGTATGCACAGCAGCATTTTAATCCAAGGAATAAGTGTCTATTGTACAGTGAATATATTTAAGTTTTCCAAACTCAAAATAATCTGCTTATATTCTCATTAATTCTGAACATTATCAACCAACCTTTGGTAAAATTTGCTATATGTTGTGACACTTGAACATTATATTAAAAGATGATAACTCAAGACAGGCCTGATGGCACACGGGCCGGGGGTGGGGGGGCTGTAAGGGGGACAGGCAGAGGCAGGTCTCTGTGTGTTCAAAGCTAGTTCCAGGGCAGTCAGGGCTACATAATGAGACCCTATCTCAAACAGACAGACAAAAAGTAAAAATGATGTATATCAAATGTTATTTATTCATTTATTTATTTTTTAATTTTATGTATATGAGTATATTGCTTGAAAAATGTAGGTGCACTCATGTCATACAATGCCCATGGAGGTCAGAAGAGGGCATCAGATCCCCTGGAATTGGAGTTATATATGTTTGTTAGCTCTCCAGCCCCTCAAATGTTACTTTTAAAATAATTTTTGATTTGCATTTTATGTGTTAAATGCATCTATGTTGCTGGGTTTTGAGCTAACATAATTTGTTAAAATCCTTTCTGCAAAGTGCTATTATAATAGCCATCTTATGGGACTTGGAAAGTGCCCTATTGTATAGAACTCAGTGTTATACACTAATGGCATTCATTAGACTGGAATTCTGTTCCAATAGCAGCCTGGCATTTTCAGCTTCCTCACAGCGTGCAGCTTTGATAATTGTGCTAATGCTAGCTGATTTATGAGGACAACTTCCTAAAGTGTGCTTAATTAACCTGAATATTTTGTAAACAGCTGTACATGTGGGTACCGCAAATTGTGAGGATCTGTCAATCTGATGTGTACAATATGCCTTCTTAATGTTATCACTTTGTACTAAAGCTTAAACCAACAAGAAACTCCAATCAGGTATCTTTTGAATGAATAAGCACTTGAGGAGGATTTTGGAAAATGCTGTTTTAGCCCATATGAAAATGGAAACAGTTTGATTACTCCACTCTGGGTCTGTTGGGCCAGAGGAGTTAGGTAAATTGCTGCCTTTTATGTTAATATAAGGGAAAATATGAAGGCTTGATTGGAAAGGGGTCCACTTTTTCCAGCATGTTGTTGCAATATGATTTTGCCATAATTAGATGTTGCCCATTGATTATGCCATTGAAACAGCACATGCAAGGCCAGTAACACAGGTGGATAAAAAGAATTTAAGAAACGCATAAAAAGAGTTTCTTAAAATATACCGTGAGAGGCAGCTGGCAAGTTCTTAGGAAAAGGATTGTGCCTCTGAGAGGAGTGGGGATTCTTATTTGGTTTTATCTTGAGGGCCGTTGCTATGGTGTCTATAGCTGGACAGATAGGTGAGCATCCTCACTATTTTGTTAAATAGTCAGTTTTACAGTTCAAGTTGTTTCTTTTGAGACTGACCAGTTGGGTAGGGTGCCATGGATTGTAGGATTTAGGGTCCAGTGGTTTGTTTTATAAGACATTGTAAGTGACTGGCATCAGGATCCAAGTAGTTGTGGCCTGGTTGTTAAAGTATGGGAGTTTAGTTTTTGCTTTGGCCTTTTGTCTCACTAGGATTTTGGTCTTGCAGTTGACCTTGAGTGAAAGAGTTCTCATTCAGAAGCCCCTATGACCTCAGTCTCTTTCTATTTCAGCAACTGGTTTAGTGAGTTACCATCCTTATTTAAATAGAAATCACTTGTTTTTTTACCTATTTTATTGAAAATTTCAAGTGAATGACAGGACGTTCCATATGCTACCACTGCATATGAGGTAAGGTGATTCTATCTAGAATTTAGCAAGATTAAAAGTGCTGTACCAGAAATCATATACAAGAAAAATTTAGGTAAAAAAGGATAGTAAATCGTATTAGAACCAAAGCCAAGTTTATCAAAACAGAACGAAGAAAATAATCAGATAATGGACAGAGGAAAAAAGAAATCTCTACTACATACATTTAGAAGTGACAGCAACTGCACAAAGCTAATGACAATAGAGGATTGGGATGGTTTTTAATCATCTTACTGTGAAAAAAATTATTATCAGACAAGTCCTAGAAATAAAACTAAGGATTAGCCTAGGCTTTCTCAAGGGTCCCAGTGAGGTTGAGTCCCCTCATTAATTTAAGCTATAATCCTGGGTACAGTCTCTTTGGGAACAAGCTAGATTACATCTAAAGACAATCAAACATTACTGCTTAGCCTTTTCTTTGACTTCAATGGTCGGCACCTCTTTCCCGGCTTCGGTAGCAGGAACCATGCTGATGATGAGCGATTGACCGGATGTTGTTCTGGGTAAAACTGTCTTTCTAATGGACTGGGATCTTTCTTCCACTGTGCTATAACTTGCTCTGCACTTGGATCTGCCTGGTGTTTCTGCTGGTTCTAGTCCGTCCTTTATCTTCATATACTTTTTCTTTACTTTTTCTTCCTTTGGAGTTTTTGCCTTTGTTCTGCAAGAAGCCATAATAAAGATAAGTGTTGATGGGACTGGAGAGATGGCTCAGTGGTTAAGAGCACTGGCTGCTCTTGCAGATGACCTGACACCCTCATGGCAGCTAGCAACCATCCTGTAACTCCAATTCCAGGGGATCTGAAGCCATCTTTTGACCTCTGCAGGCATTGCATGACACAGGCAATATACTCACACTTAAAATTTAAAAAAAAATTAAAATATTTTAAAAAGAATTAGTGCCTGGTGCATGCATTTAATCTCAGTACTTGGGAGGCAGAGGCAGGCAGATCTCTGTGAGTTCAAAGCCAGTTTGGTCTACATAGTGAGTTCCAGGTCAGCTGGGGCTACAGGGAGACCTTATCTCAAAAATGACCAAAAAGACCTGAAGAGATGGCTCAGCAGTTAAGAACACTGACTGCTCTTGCAGAGGACCTGGGCTCGATTCCCAGCACCCACATGACAGCTATGAACTGTCCTTAACTCCAGTTCCAGGGGAATCTGAAGCCCTCTTCTGACCTCTGTGGCATTGCACGACCTAGGTATACTCACATACATGCAGGCAATACACTCATACACATAAAATAAAAATAATAAATAAAATAGTAAAAAAGAATTAGTGTTGAAACCATAATCAAGCACATTGGAGTCACCGCCTTGCAAACACTATCTGAATGGAGTGACTATGGGAATCACAAATCATGCCTGTCTTGCTTCTATTGTGTTTTATTAAGTTTCCTATGCTGGAGAATGCAGCTGAGTTGTTAAACTGGATTTTCAGTGTTAGTCTAGAATGTAACTTTCTTCTAGCCAAGAAATTTCTGGCTTATTGTTCCTCATATTCTTAGAATCATCCATGCTGAGGATTATTTGCTTTTTAAATGTTTTCTTATTTTATTTTATGGGGATGAAATTTTAAATATTTATTTTAAATACAAATACTATAAAATGCAATAGAAAGTCTATTTTTTTCCCTTCCTGCTCATGAGAGAGCCTCAGGGAGAAACATACCTCTTTCCTAGTATGATTTTCTTAATTTGTCTCATAAGTATTTAAGCTATTAGGTTTTTAAATTTTATTTACATTTTGTTTGTGTGTCTGTGTGGGTATGGATGGGTGGGTGGGTCTATGTGTGTGTCACAGTGCCCATGTGGAGGTCAGAGCAGAACTTGTAGGAACTGATTCTCTTCCACCATGTGAGTCCCTGGGATGGAACTTGGGTTGTCATACTGGTGGCAAGGGTGCCCACTGAACAATCTCTCCAACCCCTGCTATTGCTTTTAAACCTGTTTTATTTACTATTATCTATAGAAAGTTCATGGTAAAAACATACAAGGCTCTGGTCATGCTTGGGAAGGAGACGGGCCTGAGGTATAAATGTGCAGAGATAAATTGAGACTCTTAACCCATTTACCTACATGTCTTTATCACCATGTGTTTCTTGTACAGATTGTTATTTTTAAGTTGCTATAAATGAAGCATTTGGTTTACATTCTACTCTAATAGTTACCATGGTATTGTGTGTAGAAAACAAAGAATGGCATGCATTACATACATGTGGTGCATTTACATGTGGTGCTTTTAGAATCTTAAACTGCGACTAACTTGGTAATAATTTGTTTTCATGATTTTCAGAATGGTCCATGGTTACCCATTTCTAATAGTGTTGGACCTAGCATAATCACTAGATTCAGAAAACCCGAAGAAGTGTTCTATTTCTCACTTTGTTCACATAGATTATAATAATCAGAGGAAAAAAACAACGAAAGGTGAGAAAAGAGTATCATTTCAGTTTTCACATTACTACAAATTAGAAGGCAGCTTGGTGTTCATCTGAACACCAATTTTTGCACTATGAGCTAATCCCAATTCCTTGACTGAATCTGTTTATGACACAAATAGGATAGATGAAATCGGTAGGGTTATTTTGGTCTTTACACATTTTTTATATATTGAATGAATATTTGTGAAAATGTTTACTGGCATAATGTTGACCTGATTTATATATTCATATTTCTGTGTGTATGTATGTCTGTTACCATGTGTTGTGAAACATCTCTCATCGCCTCATGTGTTTGAACACTTGGTGCCCAGCTGATGGCAGTGTTTGGAAAGGCTGTGGAAACTTTAGGAGGTGGAGTAGAGCCCTGATGAGGAAGTGAGTCCCTTCCTCAAAGTGAGGTTTGAGGGTTTAACTTGGCCCAACTTCCTGTTTACTCTCTGCTTCCTGGTTATGGATGCAATTTGACAAGATGGCCTCCTGCTCCTGCCACCGTGCCTTCCCCACTCTAATGGGCTGTATCCCCATGAACTGTAGACCAAAATACACCCTTCCTCCCTTAAGTTGCTTCATGTCAAGTGTTCTGTCACAGCAACTTGAAAAGTAACGAAGGCACCGTGATTCTTATTGATTATTGTTACTAGGTTTTTGTTGTTTGTTTTATCAAGTTATCACGAACACTGAATTAGCAAATATGAACCATTTCTCTCAGGAGAACTACAGGGTAGGTTCATATGAGTCTTATTCCGTAATGTTTTTGTCAAGTGATAAATATATAACTTTCTTTTCTGCATGTTTATCTGTAGAGATCCATTATTTAAGGTGATGAATTAACCTGATGAACTGTGCATTCACTACATTGAGCTCCTAGATAATTGCATTATAATTAGTAACCCTAAATGAAGCTTACAGAATTCCACATATTTTCTGAGAGATACCATAGCAATTTTGCACTTAGGAACTCTGGACAGTACTTCAGCACTACTCTAAAGGCTCGTTTTAAACAACAAAGTCATCCCCCCCAAATATTAAATAAAAACTCAAGCTACGAAATGAAAACATTTAAAATCATGGCAAAAATAGATGGCAAAGAATCAGCTACTCACAGCATGAAAGCTGAAAGAAGAAAGTGTAGTAAAGTATGAGAATTTCTTAGCTGATAGTATACATGTCAAATTTCTTTCTTTCTTTCTTTCTTTCTTTCTTTCTTTCTTTCTTTCTTTCTTTCTTTCTTTCTTTCTTTCTTTCTTTCTTTTTTTTAACGACTTTTTCACTTGTCCATGAATGACACAAAAGAAGATCAAGCAAGCTACTGAGATGGCTCAGTGGATAAGATCACTGTCTGCTCTTACAGAGGACCCTGGTTTGGTTCCCAGCACCTACATGGTGGGTCACAACCATCTCTAACTCTGGTTCCAGGAGATCTAACACCTTCTTCTGACCTCTTTGGGCATTACATACATGTGGTACATTTACATACATGCAGACAAAACAAACACATTAAAAACAGATAAATTAAAAAGAAATTAAAGCATAGTAAGTGTTGATTTGTGGGTAGTCAATAAATTATAGTAAATAAGGAGATCCACAAAGATAGAATTTATGAACAATTAAGGTTGATAATGATAGAATATGTGAACTGCAAAAGAGCCACAAGCCTCATTAGGGAAAGCCATAAATCCCTTAAAGTGTCTAACTGGCCCTAAATTGGTAGCCTGGCCTTGTTCAAGCTTTATCAATTGGTCAGTCCCTGGACTGAGAGAGACTCTTTGTAGAGTCCATCTGTCTCCTTTAGTTCTATAGATAACTCTCCTGCCTCTCTGAGAAAAGAGACCCTCAAGGATACCAAACCTGGGCACTAATTCAATTCCCCACAAAGTGCAGCTGCGTCTCAGAACTTTCTTATAAAAACTCCTTGTTTCTTTGTCTAGTTGTAGATGCTTGGTCCCTTAGCAGCCTCTACTTCTCACTGTGTCTTGTTTGAAGATATATTCCTTGCCTGTTGCAGGTTTGGTTCTGTTTTCTTGTCTCCTACTCCTCTATCTTTCCTTTCATTCTCCAAAAATCTAACAGATTATATTTATATGAATTTAAAATAAGCCTGGATTTTATATGGAGATAAAGTTTAACTAGTAAGTGCTAATATAAAAGCAATAGTTGTTAGCATTAGATTAGTCTTAACTATGCCAATGCTTAAAATAGAACTGAATTAGGAGCTGGCTTGGAGGTAGCTCATCCAGGACTCTCTACCTCTGTGTCAGCCTCCTGTCTCTTCACTTGTTCTAGCTTTATTACCTGAGCCGTTTGGTCTCTCTTTCCTTTGAGGAGTCTTCCAAGGTCTCTCTTTCCTGTGATTCCCAGGAGAAGTTTAAACATTTTGGGCATCTCTTCTTTTGTTGGAAAGAGAAAGGCAAGTCTTCTTGGAGGGGCTACCTCTGTGACTTTACCCTTTTGGTTTAGAAGAACTCTGTGGACAGGAGAGGAACACTGTTTTAGGTAGCTCTGTGATTGTTTTACCAAAATCTATCTGAAAAATGGTAAATTCTCCTACACATGAACTTTCAGTGGGTACCAACATTCAGTTTTAAGTGTATCTCACAGAGAAAGTTGTAACTTATCCTTGTAACACACTTATCCTCATCTTGGATTTTATAAAACCTACTATGTTCACCTTCTTTTTCAGTGCCTTGCTCTGTTATTCAAGATGACCAGTGCCCTTGCCTCAGCCTTCTAAGTGGTAGGATTCTAAGTGTGAGCCATCAGCCTAGCTCTAATGAGGTTTAAAGGTTGTACCTGGCTTTTTCATGAGGAGCTTTTTAGAAGTTGGATAATGCAGAAGAATTCCTTGGAGAGCCTTTTTGTCCAGGGTTAAAAGATTGGCAAACCTGTGGGCTACCACGTCAGAAGTTCGACGGTTTCCTCCTCCTGTTGCCAGAAGACTGTAAGAGAAAAGCTGGTCTTAGAACATTTTTCCCTTTTAAATCTCAACACAAAATTGTGAATTTAATTATTCAGTTACACATTTTAAGTACTTTATTATTTTTATGTGTATGAGTGTATTGCCTGCATGTATGTGAGTGCACCCATGTGGCGCAATGCCACAGAGGTCAGAAGAGGGCTTCAGATTTCCCTGGAGCTGGAGTTAAGGATGGTTCGTAGTCACCATGTGGGTGCTGGGAATCAAACTCAGGTCCTCTGTAAAAGCAGTCAGTGCTCTTAATCACTGAGCCATCTCTCCAGCCCCAGTTATACATTTTAAAGTTGGTATCACAAGGTTAATTTGTAAGGTGCTGACTTTTCTTAGACATAATACAGTTTTTCCCAACAGTAAGTATAGAATCGTTAGAAAATATTGTTTGTTTGCTTCCTTTAGCCCTGGGATGGTTAGTTTTAATTATCAGCCTGACATAATCGAGAATCCCTGGGAAGAGAATCTCAGGGAGGGATTGTCTAGATTAGTTTGCCTGTGAGCAGTCTGTGGATATGATCTTGATTATGTTCATTGAGGTGGGAAGAATCACCCATTGTGGATGGAACCCTTGGGGATCTGGGCATGGAATACTGGATTGTATCAGAATTAAGAAAGAACTGAACACTAGCATGCATGCTTTAAATCCTTGCTTTCCATTCTTGACTGTGGATGTGATAGTTGCTTCAATTTCCTATTGCTTGGACTTCCCTAAAATGTTCTAGTTTGGATTCTCTGTTGTGCCCCTCTGAACAACAGCTTCTGTGTGCTAACTCTAAGGAAATACTTCCTAGAAGATTCACTTTAATGCTGCTGGTCTCTTATTAATCAAAGCTGATTTTTCAGCCCCAGCTGACAAACTTCTATTGTCCTAGTAAAGCAAAAGTTTTACTTCCGCATTTTTTTTCAGATTTAAATTTTTATTTATATTGTATATTATGTGTATGAGTGGTTTCTCTGCATGTATGTAAGAGCACCACACATACATGCAGTGCATGTAGAGGCCAGGAGAGGGCATTGTATTTCCTGGAACTGGAGTTAGAGACAGTTGTAAGCCACAATTTAGGTGCTGGGAAATGAACCTGAGTTTTCTGCAAGAACAGAAAGCATTCTTGACCACTGACCCATTTCTCTAGCTCTATCCAGATTCTTAATTCAAAATATCACATGAACATCCCTGATATTCTTTGCTTCCTTCTGAAACTTCCCAAGCCAGGCCTCCATCATCTGCTTTTCTACTGATACTCTTATCTTCAAACACCACAGAGTAACCCATTAGGCTCTAAGCACTCAATGACTTTTCTAACCCTAAGTTCTAAATACTTCCATTATCATCCCACAAAAACAAAACAAAATAAAATAGAACAAAAAACCCAAACATGGTTAGGCCCTTCACTGAGGGAAGCCAAGGGAGGAAATCAAGGCAAGAACTAAAGCAAAGATCATGGAAGAACACTGCTTATTGGCTTGCTTTTCCCTGGATTTCTTAGTTGCTTTCTTACACCACCCAGGCTTACCTACCTAGGACTGGCACTGCCCACAGTGGCCTGGGCCCTCCTATATCAATTAGCAATGACAACAATGTCACACAGAAAATATTGCCTCATAGGCTAATCTGATGGAAGAAATTCCTCAATTGAGAGTCCATCTTCTTAGATATCTCTAATTTGTGTCAAGTTGACAAAAGCTAACTAGCACACCTGCAATGGTACATTGTGAACCAAATACACTTTCTCCCTGAAGCTGCTATTGTCAAGGAATTTTATCACAGCAACAGAAACAAAATTAAGACAACATATGCATGTTATTTTAAGCTTCCTGGAAACTAAAGGTACTACTTATCTAAAACCCATGAGAAATGCACATATAATGTCTAAACATTAGTGCATATGTATACCTGGGAGCTGCTTGGCAAAGAACACGGTGCCAGTCAGAAGAAACCTCCCTTTGAGAGGTTGGTGAGAGTAGTCCAGGAGACTCCCAAAATAACACAGGCTGTTGACAAACCTCTTGGTTATCTCCCAGAACCAGTACATAAGATACTATTGCTAAAGACAGGACATACTTTAGATACAGGACTTGGAGCAGTGGAACTGACCTGGAAACCTTCTACCTGAAGTTTAGCTCTAATAATGCTAGATAATAATATGCAAACTGGCAAGGGAGAAAAACAATTAGTGGTCCAACTCAACCCTAAAGCCTAATTGCCATAATGACTGGCATGGCAAACTACCTGTATTGGTGCAGTGATGGACTGTTATTTGGAAGAGTAAGATGCAATAAACCATTTCCTCCCCAGGTTGCTTTGGGTAAGTGTTTTATTCCAGGAATATAAAGCAACTACAAGTACTTAATGAGGTATAACAGTTAGGGAGGAGTCTGAAGCTCCTGTCACCTACAGCTCTGGCAAATATTAAACATACCCCAAACTCCAGTCAGATTAGCATAAAACTTTACACGAAATGTCCATTTACTTCAGTTCCTATTGCCCGTTACATCATTCCTAGCTTTCAGCAGAGACAAATGGTTACAAATAATGCCAAAAGGCAAAAAAAAAAAAGACAAAGTACATGTCAGAAACAGATCAGGGTGACACAGATGTTAGAAGTCATTGTCACAGAATTTTAAAAAATGGATTAATATGTTAAGGAGTATAATTGCAAAAAGAATCACACAAAAACAGAGATGGAAATTCTAAGAAAGAGCTAAAGGAAATGTAGAAATTAAAAACACCGTAACAGATATGAAGAGTGCTTCTGATGGACTCAGCAGCAAATTTTCTTGGGAAACAATCAGTGAACTGGAAGATAGGTCAATAGAAAATTTCCAGATTGAAATGCAGGAGAATAAGTAAAACTGAACACAAAGAACTAAGGAATCGTTTTGAATTATGAGACATGTACATAACTGGGGTACCAGAAGGAGAAGGAAGAGAAGAGAAAACACATGTAAGCAATAATTGTGAAGAACTTTTCAAAATTAATGTCAGACAATGAACCACAGAAGCAGAGAGAATGGAGAATTTCAAACATAGGTAATTAGTCCACCTCTAAACTCTCATTAGAGAAGCTTCTGTTTTGCAGTAGGTAGCAATTAGTACAGAGACCTACAAGTGATGAACATGCAGGGAATAAGAGACTGTGGAATGATCAGCTCCAAATGGGACATCTATATCAAACCTCTCCACAAGGCTCAGGGATCATCAGGGAAGAGGAGGAGATAAGATTGTAGAATTCAGAGGTAGTGGATATCTGCAGCAAATAGTAGTTGTCAGGCATGACAGGACCATTGCGCACATGAACTTACAGCAGCTGTGACTGTATGCATAAGACCTTCACAAGATCAAGCCAGCTAAAATAGCAGAATGGAGTGGGGAGCTCATGAAACCCCACCCCTAGTTGAGGAGGTATTGATAACTGATGGTTGCTGTGGGAGAATCAGTTTTCTTCATGGATGCAGGCCCTGAAAGACTACCCATGCTCCAGCAGATGGTCTTATATCCATGTGCATACAGGTACCACTAAATTGACTCAGTGGGTTTAAAAACAGAGCACACGAAGTTGAGAGTTTTGAAAAGTGGTGGGAAGGGAGGGGAATTAGACAGGAGAGAATGGAGGTAGATTTGATCAAAACAAATTATCAGCTCTATGAAACTCTTAAACAACAACAACAAAACATAAATAAAACAAACAAACAAAAACTCTCAAAATCCTGTCATGTCATATTCAAACTACAGGGAACCAATGACAAAGAGTAAATATTAAAAACTAGAGGGTGGAAATACTTAAGTCACACATGGACCAGGATAAGAATCATAGTCGATTTCTTATCACAAACCACTCTCATCACTAGATAGTGAAGTATTCAAGGTGTTGAAAAAAGTCTGCCAGGCTAGAATTTTGTGTTTAGTACGAGTATTCTTCAGAAGTAAAGGAGAAACAAAGACTTTCTCAGATTAACAAAAGCTAAGGGACTCCATTTCTAGAGACCTGCCCAGCAGAAAATGCTCAAAGAATTTTCAGGGAAAAAGAGAATATAGATCAGAAGCTTAGGTCTACACAGAGAAAGAAAAAAACACTAGAAAAAGGAGTAAATAAAGGGAAATAAAACATTTCATCTTTGTTCTTATCTAGGAGATAACTAAATGACAGTGTAGCAGTTTGTGGTAATGATGGAATATGCATACATGAATGATAGTGCCTGGGTGGAAGGGAGAGACTTCATAAGGCAACAAACAGCTCTACACACAAAGTAGTATGTGAGGCAGACTTAGAACCGGTTTAAAATGTGTATCAAAACCTTTAGGGAAAGTCTTAATATATTCTTTTAAAGTTCTGCTTTTGTGCAGGTCTGGGTGGTTTGAAAATCCTGAGTAGCTGGGATTATAGGTGTATGCTACTATGGCTAGCTAAGAATAATTATGCTAAGAGAGAAGAGAAAAATGAATCTTGGAAAATGTTCAATTAAAGCTAGAGCTTCATTGGGTATGGTGGAGTGTGCCTTTCATCCCAGCACTTGGGATATGAGGCAGGAGGATCGTGAATTTCAGGTCAGCCTGGACTGCATAATAATACCCTGTCTTAAAAACAAAACAAACAACAACAGCAACAACAAACAAAAAAACCATGTAAAAGCAAACAAAGCAAACACCTGGCAAAGCAAGCAAGCAAATACCAGAGCAGGAAGAAAAGAAAAGGTAGTGGGGAAGAGGGCTGCCTTAGGCATCAAAATTGAGCACTTATCTGAACCCAACATTGAAGATGGGGCTTGGGAAGGTAAGCCAGGGCTCTCTAGACCACTGAAGAATGGAATTGCATCTCCAAGACAGAAAGTATATATTTAGAATCCTTCAGTGTGACTATATTAATGCCTACCTACTTTAGTCAATGATTTTGCCTTTCTTTTGATCCATGACAAAAAAAAAAATCACTTTAGTCCTCTCCTTCCTCTCCAAGACAAGCTCTGCTTTTG